AATGAGTACTGTCCTTTCAAAGTAGTTACCTTGGGAAATAATGCACTTATTGCAATGATCCCACCTGCAGATAAGGTCATTATGCTGAAAAATCAAGGATCATATGATCATTTCAAATGTGGGAGAGAATTCTAGTCTAAAGCCTTGATTTTATAGATAAGGAAAATGAGGCCCAGAAAAGTTAAGTGATTTGCCTAATGTCACATAGATAGTAAGCTGAAAACCTAACACTTAGATTCTAACTCTGAATCCAGTGCTTTTCCCACTATCCATTTAAAAAAAAAAGTATGTTTAAAAGTAATGAGAGTAATTTTATTATGTGACTTTTAGAGTTCTAAAGGCAGCTCCAAAAGTGTTTTGAGCAATGATAGTATTAATAGTTAAAAATGTCAGTCAAGTCTCCAAAGGCAACTATTTAGAAAAACGATAATCTATTGGATTATTCTAGTTTTCTTAAAAGAAAATAAAGTTCTAGTACTTTTTAGTTTTACATCATGTAATAAAATATTTTTATTTCAGTGCACTGCAAGTTTCATGACTAAAACTTTTGAAACTGATTTACCTTTTACTATAGCCTAAACAGGCACAAGTACTAAATCGTAAACTCAAAATGCTCAGATTATTACTTTACTTTTTCTTATGAAGAAGGGCAATTTTCCCTCTCTTAGTTGTAGGTGCTTTATTTTTGCATGAACGAAAACATATTACTCATTTGATTATAATTTATTATCTGAATATTAATTTCATTTCACCGAAAAAGGTATGGATGTAATAAACAATGTGTTTTCTAAACTTGAGTTTTACATTTAAAATTCTATTATCTTTGGCATACTTCTGTTTGTGAACCATTCCATTTTTTATTTTTAGCTTTTGAATTTCTCAGTAAACACTTTATGATTTTAAATGATCTTCTGCCACCCTGTGGGCAAGGTGATTCATTGCAGACTCTAATAAATAATAATAGAAAATAATTTTGACCATGGAAAAAGATGTTTCTGCCAGTGGAGATCTCATTAGGAAGAATTGTATAAAAAATCAAGCATCTAGAGTTGTATTGAATATGATTGCTCCATCATTCACTTAATGAAATTGCTGAGAATGTTTGAGAACAGTGGTAAAATATATGGCAAGATAAAAATCCAAGACCTTAGTCCTTTCCATTTCTTTGTTGTTCAGTCGTTTCAGCCATGCCTGACTCTTCATGACCCCATCTGGGGTTTTCTTGGCAAAGATACTGACGTGGTTTGAGAAACCGAGGTAAACAGGGTTAAGTGACTGACCCAGGGTCAGACTGCTAGTCTGAAGCCAGATTTGAATTCAGGAAACTGAATCTTGCTCACTCCAGGCTTGGTTCTCTATCCACTGGGCCACCTAGCTGCCCCCATTTCTAACATTCCCTTCCATTTCTAACATTTTGCAATCCAGTGAAGTCCAGTGGAAGTATCCTTTAAATGCTAGAGATAGGAGGGAACTTAATTATCATTAAGCCCAACACTCTCATTTTACAGATAAAAAACCTAAGGTATAGAGAGGTCACTCTGATGTTATACACTTTAACTCTATTTCAGCCATACACAGGAATGGTTATAACCTTGATCTCATCAGCACAAGTGCCACAAACCCCTATCTTTCAACTGTCCTGTGATTCATTCCTTCTAAGCCTATTTCTCTTCATTGCAACTTCCAATAACTCCACCTCTCTTTCTTCTCCCATTACTCCTTCTCTGACCTCTCTGTTACCTTAATGATATTGACCTTTTCATTTTAAGTTCTTTATTAGAATATCAAGTAAATTCTGGAAAGAAGTTGGTATGACAGGAGCTGGCAATCTCCACTATGCCCTTCCTTATCCCCAGCTTGCTATACTAGAAGCTTTGGGAAATTTCCCTTTTGGATGAGTTCTGGGACTCTCTCCCTTGGTTTCGATGAGTTGCCTCGATCCCAATGGGAGAAACCACTTCTTTTTTTATTGTCTGATATATTCTCCCATGTATATTTTCTCAGGTTTCTGTTTTGCCATCAAATTGGAAAAATGAATTTCTTTGTTAAAAATAAAATCAAATATCAATTGGAGTTAGAAAACTATTCTGCAAAAAATTAACTCTAGAGAAATGGCACCACTTAAGATAGATGTTTGACGTGGTTTGAGAAACCGAGGTAAACAGTGTGGGATTGCTGGGAACCCTGAAATGTCAGGGCATTTCGGAAATGTTTCCTAAATATTTAGGGCAAGTCTGACTGGAAAGAATTCAAGCACTCAAGCCTTCTTTCTGTCAAGGTGGCTAGATTTATTGTAAAGCCAATAGGATCCAACCAAGATTCCTAGTGAATCTGTGCCTAGATAGGGGTGAGATTGATACATCTATATAAAAAAGGACAATGAGAAGATTTGGATGGGATTAAGGAATGGTGAATAGCCTGGGGTGGGCCAAGAGTAAAAGTGGAAGGACTGTCAAGTAAGCTCATTAAGTGATCTAGGTGGGCTGGGGTAGGCCAGATACCTTGGGTGGAAGAGCCAATGATCTGGGCTACTGAAATACATGGGAAAATTCAGGGACTGGGTTGCTTTCAAAGGCATGGTCTTTTTCTTTTAGGGGTCCAGGTCCCATCACCCCATTACTTCCATGTGCCTAGTACTATATTAATCACTGGGGATAAAAGACAAAAAGAAAAAGTAATTCTTGCACAAAATAGCTAACATTCTAACAGGATTTATACATACATATGTGTATAGATAGAGTCACCTGCAATCATATAATGTACATATATAATACTTGTATGCATATTTAGAATAAATACATATAGCATAAACACAAGGAAGTTAGGGGTAGGACACTACAAGTTGAGGAATCAGGAAAGTCTTGGTATAGAAGGTAGCCCTTAAGCTGTGTCTCGAAGGAAATGAGCGATTTAGTGAGGCAGAAGTAAATAAGTGTATTGGGAACAGTCAGTGAAAAGGCACAGACATGGGAAATACAGTACCATAAAGAGAGGCCAGTTTGGCTACCCCATAAGGTTCAGGAAAGGGGGTAGCAATATATAATAAGACTAAAAAGATAGATTGAGGCCAGATTATAAATGGCTTTTAAAAAAGAGTTTATACTGGAAGCAATAGGGAGCCACTTACATTTATTGAATAGGAGAGTGACATGACTGTTGAGGTCTGAGAAATTCAGAGACCTCACAAGGACCAGAGTATAGCACAGGTCGTCTGGAATGAATTCACAGACTCAAGCATTCTTTGAGTCAAGGTGGCAAAGATTTATTGTTATGCTATACAGTGGGCAAAGGTCCTTAAGGAACTTGCCATGGTGGGCAGAGATCCCTAGGGAACTTGCAACCTAACAGAAATAATGGGAAAGCTTATAGAGGAAAAGTAGTAAATTATGTGCAATTAAGTGATAACATGCAACTACGTCATTCACTACTGAAAATTGAGGATGGGGGTTTCCTAAGAGGTATGTTTTTGGTCTGTTAGGTCTAAAAAGATAGTTTCAGGAGTTGACGTCTGTCGCTTGACCTCTGGATTGTAGATGGTAACTGTGGGCATCAGTACTTACTAGTTCTGCTGGTACAAGATTAGTACAAGGGAAATTCTACAGAGGTCAGCTTGTTCTTGTAACAGGGAGAGATAGTTTGCCTCACTGGGTCCACTTATGAGTCACTGCCAGAGATAGGGTCTTTGGGCCGTAGGGAAACTGTCAGGGATAGTGTTTTTGAGACTAGAGAGAAATATGATTTTGGACGTGGGGTCTGAGTTCAAGCACCCAGGCACCCTATCATGTGCCAAGCCTTAAACCAATTCAGTGAAGATTGGATCATAGATTTAAGAGTTAGACCTTACCTTAAAGGACATATAGTTCAATCCTCCATTTGACACAAAAGAAAACTGAAGGTCAGCAAGATTAAGTCTTCCTGAAAGAGATGGCATTTAAAATGAACTTTGAAAGAATGAGGAGGAATTAAGGAAGTCAAATGATAAACATTTGTTCATCTCCTAGTAGGTGCCAGAAAAAAAAAAGTCAAGATTTCCCACTGCATCTGGGCCATCTCCAGTCATCCTGCTCTATATCTGACCACTGGATCCAGATGGATTTGGAGGAGAGAGTGAGGCTGGTGACTTTGCACCGCTCTGCCTCGATTAAATCCAATTCATTTGCAAATCATGGCATCACCTCCCTGATGTCATGGTCCTCTTTCAGAAGGAAGTATAAACAACAGTAACTATGTGCCAGGCACTGTGCTATGAGCTGGGGTACAAAAAGAGTTGAAAGATGGTTGGTGAACTGAAGAAGCTTACAAAATAATGGAAAAGGAAAGCAGTTAAGTGATTGTAGTTGATAGAGCTCAGGACCTGGAGTCAGAAATCCTGAGTACAAATCCCACCTCAGACAATGACTGTGATGCTGCCTCAGTTTTCTCATCTGTAAAATGGATAGCACCTAACTACCTGGGTTGTTGAAAAGATAAAATATTTTATTTTTTAAAGTACTTTTTGTAAAATGCTTTGCAAACCTTTTAGTGCTGTGTAAATGCTGGATACTGTTGTTATTATTATTAATTCAAAATTTTGTTATGCTCCTTTTACAAACTTTAGTGATAACAGTGGTAATTTGATTTAATATCCAAGGGGAAGCCTCAGAGGGCTGGAGTTTTAGCTTTCTAGGAATCCAGCAGTCTAGGTCCAGGTTTACAGGAATGAGAAATTTTCGGGAAATTTGGTCAAGCAGCAACAGCTCCCACCGTCACATAGCTAAGCGGCAGCGGCTGAGGCGAATCCCTCAAGAGCACCTTCGGCGACTGCGCGTGCGCAAGCCTTCTCCACCGCTACCCTGGCGACGGGACAAGAAAGCCGAGCCTCGGTCTCAAGAGCGCGTGCGCAAGTCCGGGCTGGCGTTGCAGAGGTGGAGTTTCCCCTCACTTCCTTCCTTCCTTCCTTTAAGCTGGGCGCCGCCGCCTGGCTAGCCTGGCTTGTCTCACCCCACCCCAAGCGAGGGAAGTGGAGCGATGTTGTCACTTCCGTTGAGGCCCCCATCTACATCCAGGTCAGCGCTCTCGCCGCTGCCGCTGCGGCTGGGGGACCTGGCTGGGGTCTCCGCCGCCAACCTAGGGGCTCTGGTGGAGCCCTGCGCAGGGCCTAGCTCCGGGCCGGCCTCCTCGACTTCGCCGGCCTGGAGGGGCGAAGAGGACGAGGAGGCGGAGGCTTCCTCCCGGGTAGGTGCGGGCTCTGGGCTCGGCTCGGCGGGGCGGGGAGGAGCTGCCCACTCCAGCAGCTCCAGACGGGGCCGGGCCGGGCCTAGGAGCTGCCCACACCGGCAGCCCTGGGGAGAGGGGCGGGTGGGGCCGGACTGGCTCGGAACTATCTCTCCGTCCTGCGAGGCTGAGGGGCCGGGTAATTGGCAGCCCAGACTCTCTTAGGTGGTTCTTATCTGTTCCTTCCCCTGTTTGCTGTCGGGGCTGGGTCTGGGGGGCAGCTGCGGAGGGAGGAGCACGTCGTGTGTCCTCATCCCGAGGCTTTCCTGCTGTAGCTGGGCCGTGTCTCATTAACAGGATGCGTTTGCTCCACAAAACAATTTCCCAAGTTTTCTAGGAGCCTTGTACCCTTAGGGAATAGCTTCAGAAGAGGAGTTTATAATCAGTGACTTACTTGCTTATGTCAGATAAACATGAGATGCGAAGGATAATACGAAAAATGATAAAAGGCCCTTTCTAGGAGCTTACATAGTTGCCACCTTTGTGGCATACATGACTTTATGGAAAACTTAACCGCAAAAATGATAGCCCGAAGATAAGTAACGTTGCCCCTTGAGAAAGTGGTTTAGGGATAGACCTTTTCGAAAATGTGGACAGAATTCAAGTAGAGACCCATCTGTGCCGGAAGGCTTCGACACTGAATCACATTCTCTTCTGTTCTCCTTTTTATGTCAGAATCATAGTTCCTGTAAGATTAAGTTTTATTCTTAGTATATTACAGCCTTACAATCAAAGCTGCCCTGTAGTCCTTTATGTATATTTAAAATCTTACACTTCTTTTCCTTCTGTCCTTTGAGGCAGCTGGTGGTACAGTGGATGGAACTGGACCTAGAGTCAGACCTGAATTCAAATTCGAACTCAGACATTTACTCACTCTGTGTGACCCTAGGCAAGTTAACTTCTGCTTGCCTCAGTTTCCTCAACTGTAAAAAGGAATAATATAAGCATTTACTTCCAAGGGCTGTTGGGAGGGTCTAATGAGATGATATTTGTAAAAAGTGCTTAGTCCAGTGCCTGGCATGTACTAGGTGTGTATAAAGTTTTATTCTTTTTCTCTCTAATTTAATAAGTTGAAACTCCCAGAGAATCCTGGTAATTCAGTTTTACAGATGCAAAACTTAAGCTAGATCTTTACTTCTACCTGTTAATACAGTAATTAGTCATTACTTGGCCTGTAATGAATGGTAAGCCTACAATTTTATTTCTGTTGACACATTTCTTTTAAAATTGCCAATATACAAAATTAGCATTTTATTTTACAGCCAGAATGTTTACATTTGCACAACCAAATGTTAAAAAAGTAATTGCTAAAAGTTATTACCAGGGTCAGCGAGGTGGTTCAGTGGATAGAGCACAGGCCTTGAAGTCAGGAGGATCTGAATTCAAATTCGGACTCAGGTAACACTAGTTGTGTGACTCTGGGCAAGTCCTGCTGTATCTTAGGTATGACAGTTTTTTCTTTTAATTGTAATGTATTTAGGAATATTTACAGATTTCCAGCAATTAAGCTACATCTTTGACTTTTCAGTTTCTGATTAGAGACTCTCATTTCCTTTTCAAATCATTGGACTTTTTGGTGCTGTTCCCTTGCCATGTAAGTGGGCATCATGACAGACAAACATTTAAGATTTATCGTGGTGGTCATGTGATAACAATTTGGGAACTAATTTAAAATGTCCTAAAATGTTACCAAATTGTTGAATTTAAGGTGGGGAAGTCTGAAAACATTTAAAAGGCGATAATGACACTCTTGTCTGAACATATCCTGTCTACCCACCATATAATTTATTTAAACTTCCACAGTACTATTATCAAATCCTATTCTAGCAGTTATGACTAGACCTTAGTAAGAATGGATTTTAGTTTGAACAGTCCTGAATATACAAGCTTACGCTTTTGTCAGTTTTACTAATGGTGCTAACCTGTAGCAATTACAATGCAGTTCAGAACTAAAATGAAATTGTACCCACCTACTTCCTCCTTTACCCCACATATCCAAATTATTTGAAAAGTCTTCATTCTACCTCCTAGTCAGCAGGCACTTATAAGCACTTTGTGCTGAGCACTATGGTAAGTGCTAGGAATACAAAGAAAGGCAAAAACAGTTCCTACCCTTGAGAAGCATGCATTCTCTTAGGAGATATCATATGCAAACAATTATATGCATACAAGGTGTGTACACAGTAATTCAAGGTAATCTCTGGAAAAGAGCTAGCCTTGAGAAGGACTAGTAAAGGCCTCTTTTGGGAGGTAGGATTTGACCTGACACTTGAGGAAAGCCAAAAAGTAAAGTATTCTAAGTATAAGAGACAACCAGTGAAAGGACATTAAGGGCAGTATTAAATAGATTTTAGAGTACCTTGAGGGGCATAAATTCTAAGAAGACTGGAGAGGTAGGAAGGGGCCAGGTTGTAAAAGACTTTAAAAGTCAAACAAGATCTTATATTTGATTCTGAAAGTAATAAAGAGCCAGTAGAGTTTACGAAGTAGGAGGGTTAGACCTGCATTTGAGAAGCTAACTTTGGCACCTGAATGGAGGATAGACTGGAGTAGTGAGAGATTTGAAGCAGACAGACCAACCTGGGCTATTGAAATAGCCCAGGAGTGAAGTAGTAAGAGCCTATTCCACTGGTAGCTGATTCCAAGGAGGAGAAGGAGGTATAGCCAAGAGATTTTGTGAAGGTAGAATCAACAGAACTTATGTTATGCTATCTTGTTCAGACATGGCCTGACTCTTTGTGACCCCATGGACTGTAGCATGCCAGGCCTTTCTATCCTCCACTGTCTCTCACAGTCTGTCCAAGTTCATGTTCATTGTTTCCGGATATTTTCTATCCATCTCAGCCTCCGACATCCCCTTTTCCTTTTGTCTTCAGTCTTTCCCAATATCAGGGTCTTTTCCAATGAGTCGTAGCTTCTCATCTGGCCAAAGTATTTAAGCTTCAACTTCAGTATTTGACCTTCCAGTGAATAGCCTGAATTAATTTCTTTTAAATATTACTGATTCCTTGTTGTCCAGAGGACTCTCAAAAGTCTTCTTGAGCACCATAATCCAAAAGCGTCAATTCTTCGGCACTCAGCTTTAGTTATAGTCCACCTCTCACAGTCATACATTGCTACTGGAAAAATCATAGCTTTACTGTACAGATCTTTGTCAGCAAGGTGATATCTCTGCTTTTTAGTATTCTGTCCAGATTTGCCATAGCTTTCCTTCCAAGAAGCAAATTGTCTTTTAATTTCATGGTTGCAGTTACTGTCTGCAATGATCTTTTGAACCCAAGAATATAAAATCTGCTTCCATTTCTTCTCCCTCTATTTGCCAGGAAGTGATGGGACCACTTACTAAGATCTTAGTTTGATGTTAAGCTTCAAACCACTTTTTACACTCTCCTCTTTTCATCCCTAATCAAGAGGCTTCTTAATTCCTCTTCATTTTCTTCCATCAGAGTGCCATTAATCTGTATATCTGAGGTTGTTGATATTTCTCCCAGCTGCCTTAATTCTGGCTTTTGAATCATCCAGCCTGATGTTTTCATGATGTACTCTACATATAACTTAAATAAAGTGATGATATACAGCCTTGTTGTATTTCTTTTCTACACTTAAACCAGTGAGTTGTTCCATATTCAGTTGTAACTGTTGCTTCTTGGCAACATATATATAGGTTCTTCAGGAAACAATTTGAGGTAGTCTGGTACTCCCATCTCTTTGAGGACTTGCCACATTTTGTTGTGATCCACACAAGGGCTTTAATGTAGTCAATGAAATAGAAGTAGATATCTTTCTGGAACTCCCTTGCCCTCTCCATAATTCAGTGAATGTGGGCAATTTGGTCTTTAGTTCCTCTGCCTCTTTGAAAAACAGCCTGCTCTGCTGGTAATTCTCAGTTCACTTATTGCTGAAGCCTAGCTTGCAGAATCAGAAGCACAACCTTGCTGGTGTGTGAAATGAGTGCAGTTGTTAGTAATTTGAACATTCCTTTTTTTAGGATTGGGACATAAAGTGATCTTTTCCAGTCCAGGAGTCACTATTCTGTGTTTCCCAAATTTGCTGGTATATTGAGTGCAGCGCTTTAACCACATCACCTTTTACGGTTTTAAATAACTCAGCAGGAATTCCATGACCTCCACTAACCTTATTGTTAGCTTTGCTCCCTGAAACTCACTTGACTTCATTCTCCAGGATATCTGACTCTAGATCAATAACCACATCATTGTGGTTATAGGTGGTGTTAAGATCTTTCTTGTATAGTTCATTTTGTGTATTCTTGCCACCTCTTCTTAATCTCTTCTGCTTCTATTAAATCCCTACCTTTTTGTCTTTTATCATGCCCATTTTTACATGAAACTTTGCTTTGATACCCCTGTGGAGGGTGGGGGGATGTATTTGAATGATGGCTCAAGAATGAACCTGGGTTGCAAATGTGGGTAACTAGGAAGAGGGGAAGGTTTGGACTGAAAGATGATAATTCACTTTTGGACATACTGAGTTTAATCTACAGCAGTAGTGTCAAACTCAAGTCAAGATAGGAACTACACTTTAATCTGATTCAGGCTGTACTTGGAGTGTTGTGAGCCACATGTTTGAAACTTCTGGTCCATAGGACATCCATTTCAAGATATCCAAAGCCTTTGTTGATGCAGTACTAGAAATAGAAATAGGAAATAAGTTAGGGCTGGATAAATAAATCTGAAGATCATCTGCCTAGAGATGATAATCCTTGGCGGCTGATGAGATCACCAAGTGAAAGAGTAAAAAAGGCAAAGAGGGCCCAGGTCAGAGCCTTCAGGGACAGGCCACTGTGACCAACTTAAATTTCCAACAAAGTAGACTGAGAAGGAGTAATCAGACAGGTAGGAGGAAAACCAGGAGAGCAGTATCACAATAACAGAGAAAAAAGAGAATCAAGAAGAAGCTGGTGTCCAAACACACTGCCATTAGAGTTGGCAATTAAGAGGTTG